CTTTTGATCTCTCCCCATCCCTAAAATCACTCTTCTCCTTTCTTTAACCCCCGAAACCACTCCAAATATCCATAACCATATCTGTATGATTGATTTAGAAGATGATAAAAGGAAATTTGAGGTGGTTTTGTGGGTGGCAAAAAGGAATGTGGGTGGTTTCCAGGATAGGGGATTATATTTCGGGTGGTTTCGGGTCATAATCAACCCTAATGAATGACAAAGTTAACAATCATTAGTCACCAAAGGGTATGTATGTTGTATTTTTGTGAAACTTAGGGGTATATTATGAATTTAAAAAAGTTCAAGGGTATATGGTGAATAAACAAAAAACTCGAGGGTATATAGTGAATAAACCGAAATAATTACCTTATTTATATTTGGTAATTGCAATCTTGATCGAATGAAATTCTTTAATAAGGTCATTGTACCATTCTTGTACTACATAGGGGAATTTTATTTTATTTTACTTTTGTTATTTTTACTACGAATAATCATAAAATAATAGTTCAAACATTTAAAAATCTAACTTTTTTTGGGTGGAAATAATTTTTAAAAAAATCCTAGCTTATATTGTGAAAGTTGAAAAATGTGTTTTTTTTTTAATAATTAATTATGGATTTTTTTTTCAAAATTCAACTCGATATTTTTTACAAAGGTTTTTTTTTTTTTTTTTTTTTTTTTTTTTTTTTTTTTTGACAAAGAGAACTAACAAACAAAAGAAAACTAAAAGGACCAAGAAATAAAATTGCGGCGACGAGCTTGTGTTGCGAGCCAGTGAGCTGGAGAGATCCAAGAACGGGGAACCTTCTTAATTCTACAAGCTGGAAGGACATTGAGTTCATCTCGGATTGCTTGTATAAGCCAAATATAGGAAATATCATCCTTAACAACTCCAGAGAGAAGAGAAACCACCTGAATGCAATCCGTATAAACTTGAAGTCGAACAAACCCCCGACATTTAGCTGACCGAATCGCCCACAAATAGGCTTGAAGCTCGGCTTAAAGAGCTGAGGATGCTCTAAGAGCCCGAAGACCACCCCCTAGAACTTGATCCGAAAGAAGATCACGGAAAACCCAGCCTATGCCAGCCAAATTATCCTGACTATCCCAGGCCCCATCCACTAAGAGGCAACAATCCAGATTGTCAGCGTTAGACCCTCGAATACAGTCCGTCATCAAAAGGGGAAAATGGGTCTTAAGGAGCGGACTAGTAGAATGCACCTTCTGAGAAACAGCCAAGGCTGTCGTACCCCGAGAGACCCAATCTGCAGCTAGGTGGATAATTAGAGTCGGAGAGATAACTGCAGACCGAAACACCTTATGATTACAGGACAATGAGAGAAATGAAAAAAGACAAACCATCCCATTCCTTAGCCTCCTTATAAGCTGTGACTGTGTCGGTAAACCAAACAGTAAAAGGAGTATGTTGAAAAGTAATATGATTAAATCCCAACGGACTGCTAGTCAACAAATCCGAGGTAAACACACAATCCCTAAACAGATGAGAAGTCGTTTCGCAGCTTAGGTGACAAAAAACACAGACAGAGGATACAGGTAGCCCACGCTGACGAAGATGATCCGAAAGAGGTAATGCATCATGCAACACCTTCCAAATAAAGACTTTCAATTTTGGGAGAAGAGGAAGACCCCAAAACTGTTTCCACCAAGTATTTGAAGCTGGAGCACTGGCCAAAGAAGCCAGCGATTGCCGAATTAAAAGGGCGTATGCTGACTTCGTGGACTTCCATCTCTAGCAAATTTCCAGTAGACAAAATCATCCATGATACTGTAAGGTCGTTCTAAAGAAAGAATCCGTTGTGAAGACAATGGATCAAATAGACGATGTATCAAGGATGTATCCCAAGCGTTTTTACGCGGATCAATAATCGATGAAACATGAGTCGGCAAAGACGACTCAACAGCCGAAGCATTGAATGTAACCGGACCTCTTGGGACCCAAACATCTTCTAGGATGCGCACTTTAGATCCAGATTCCACCTTCCAAGCTAGTCCTGAGGACAAAACTGACATACCATCCATGAGTCCACGACAGCCCCACGAAGATCTAGAAATTCCTCCTGTCCGAAACGGAGCAAGAAAAGGGTATTTAGAGAGCAAGACCCTCGACACCAGAAGGTGGGGGTGAAGATGAATGCGCCAACATTGCTTAGCTAATAAAGAGGAATTCAACATAGACACACTTCTAAGACCAAACCCTCCCATTCCTTTTGGGAGGTGCAAAAGAGAAGCCGAGCGAAAAGCCAACCCCTTTGAGGAGGAAGAAGATCGCCACCAGAAATGGGACAAAAGGTTATCAATTCGATCACAAATGGAGGCGAGAACTTAAAAACTGACAACACATGATTGAAAGAAGCCACCGAAACCGAATTGATGATCACCAATTTAGCAGCCGCCGAAAGTCTTAACGAAGAAAAATCCGTGAGACGCTTTGCAACATTGTCCAGAAGATGGCTGAAAGCTGCTACCTTACTTCTCCCCATATCCACTGGTAATCCAAGATAGGAACCTAAAGAATCCCGACAATGAAGGCGCATACTATTTGCCAAGGAATCTCTATAGTCAGATGGAGTGTTTGGGCTAAACTTTGCAAATGACTTCTGAAGATTAATCATATGACCTGACATCTCACAAAAGTCCTTAAGCAATGACATAATATGGTCACATGAAGTCGGAGAAACATGGAAAAACAGAAGAGAATCATCTGCGAAAAAAAGATGAGAGATCGACGGGGCTCCTCTAGAAACTCGAATACCATGAAACAACGAAAGTTTCTCAGCCCGACGAAGCATAGCCGAAAGGTTCTCCATACACAAAACACACAAGTACGAAGAAAGAGGATCCCCCTGTCTTAGAACACATGAAGGGTGGAACATGGGAGAGGGAACCCCATTAATCAGCACCTGATAAGAGACGGTAGAAACACACTGATGAATTAAGTGAATCCAATAAGGGGGAAAACCAAACACTTGTAAGACTCGTTCTAAAAAATCCCATCGAACTCGATCATAAGCCTTGTTCATGTCTAACTTCAATGCCGCATAAAACTTCTTTCCAGCTTTAGTACGGTTCATGCAAGAAAGAACTTCATGAGCAATTAAACCATTATCCGACATGAGTCTCCCTGGAACAAAAGCATTCTGAGAAGTAGAAATCAGATGCGGTAAAACCAGGCGAAGACGACCGGTAAGACACTTTGCAATACACTTGTATAGGACGTTGCATAGACCTATAGGTCTAAACTGTGAAACTAATTCCGGCCGCTCAACCTTAGGAAGCAAAACCAAAAAGGTGCGATTCCACTCCTTTAGCATATACCCATGAGCAAAGAAATATTGAACCGCACTTACCACAAAAGGACCAAGATTATCCCAATGCTGTTTGAAAAAAGCCGAAGAATAACCATCAGGCCCCGGAGATTTATTGTCCTCTGTATGAAACATAGCTTGTTGAATTTCCAAAGCAGAAAAAGGACAAAGCAACTGATCCTTGTGAGACTCAGAAAGGACGGGAAGATCCAACTGGTCCCACCATGAAGTCTCCGGCAATGAACTGGACGAGTTCGGAGTATAAAGATCTAAGTAATAGGCATTAATAAGATTACGAACCCCTCTCGAATCAGAAATCCAATTACCCATGTCATCCTTCAGGCTATGAATACTATTACGCCGCCGACGAATCTGAACCATGGAGAACAAAAGCTGAGAATGACGATCGCCCAAAGCATCCCACCTTAGTTTGGCCCTTTGACACCAATACGAGTAGGATAACTGAGCTTCTGCAAGTTTTTCATTTCTCATATTAAGAAAGAGACGACGATCAGTCCTATTCTGTAAACTTGAAACACAATCTCCCACCTCCATGGCCAACGATTTCCAATTGATACCCCAATTCTTTTTATTAGTGACGCACCACTTCAGCAAAAAAACCTTAATTACCTCCAGTCTGCGAGACAAAGAATACATCGGAGAACCGGCATAGCATTGAAGAAGATTGGAGGAAATAAAGGACCGAATTTCCAAAGCTAACAGACACCAATTTTCTATTCGATAGGGACGGGACCCTTTGCGTGCATGCATATCATCCTAAAGAATAATACACTAGTAGAAAAAGGCTCATTTGCGTCGCTCATTTATAGTGTATTTGCGTCGCTTCTATGAGCGACGCAACTGCTCGCGACGCAAATGACTTTTAAGTCATTTGTGTCGCTCTTTATAAAGGAGCGACGCAAATGACTTTTTTGATAAACTTATTTTTTGTCATTTGTGTCGCTCCTTTATAAATAAGCGACGCAAATGACTCTTCTGACAAACTTATTTTTTGTTATTTTTGTCACTCTTTTATAAAGGAGCGACGCAAATAACTCTTCAGATAAACTTATTTTTTGTTATTTGCGTCGCTCCTTTATAAAAGAGCGACGCAAATGACTTTTCTGATAAACTTATTTTTAGTCATTTGCGTCGCCCCTTTATAAACAAGCGACGCAAATGACTCTTGAGATAAACTTTTTTTGTTATTTGTGTCGCTCCTTTATAAACAAGCGACGCAAATAACAAAAAATAAATAAACTTATTTTTGTTATTTGCGTCACTTGTTTATATAGGAGTGACGCAAATGACTGAGTAGACAATACAAAACTGCTGTATTTGCGTCACTTGTTTGTTTGATGAGTGACGCAAATGAGGTAAATTTTTTTTTTAAATTATAATATAATAATTGCCTTGTATATGTTTGTAGTACCTGTTTTCCTAGGTATAAAGTAATATGCTAACGCTAATATAATTGAAATTAAAATGCAATATTATTGAATAATGCAAATGTAAATTTCGGCAGAGTCTCCTTTGTAATTTGGCCTACCCATAAAATTTCCAAACCATGTTTCTTAACCAAATCAACGTATAATACAACTCCAACTTCTAGACTTAAACTTAAAGGTAGAAGTACCTCAACAACTCAACCTAGAGTTCAAAACGTGGTAACTACTAATTACTGACTATAGTATACAATTTCGCCCAAGCGAGCAAGAGGCATATGGAAGCTTGCCTATTGTGACCAGAAGTGAGACAGAGCCCTTCCATTTTTGCAGGCCGCAACACACTCAAGCACATATTCTCTGAGCTTCTTCTGGACTTCTTCCATTGGCAAGCAGGCATCAACCATCTGTTATCATTCAACATCGTATGAAAATCTAGATGGCATTATTACGGAATTTGATGAAACAGCAACTATCTCACAGAATCTAGTTAAAAAACATAATTTACAAAAATAAAAAGAACATTGCAAGAAACTGGAACATGTTTAAGTAAAAGAAAATTAGTATAACCTGCACTACATAATATTGCAGGCATCAATATAATGACACTATGCAAGATAAAGTCACCACTGTCAAACCTATTAACCTTACAGCCTTACCAAAATTGTACAGTCTGATGCAAGCTATGAAAAAACTAAGATTTGGTTTAACAGCCATGTCTCAGATCTTACCAAATAAATTAACCAATAAATAACAACATAAAAAGGAATTAGATTCAGCTAAACATAACATCAAACACATGGTATGCAACTCACAAATTATGTATAAAAAACAATCATAAAAAGAAAAAAGAAACAACCTTTTCTCCCAACGATTAGCACTGAACAAAAGATGAATAGTATGATCATCCAAATTAGATTGATTAGAAAGATAAGCACAGATCATCTGCCCAACATCAGTATTTCGATCCGGAAATCGCCATAACTCAGCAGAACACCCAATACTTTGCAAGTGAGAGAGAAGCTGAATACACTGAGAGCTCTTTCCACTTTGATCTAACCCTTCTAATACAACCAAAGCACCTCTTGATTGTAAATTGGGGTTTAGGGTAGAAACTTCAATTTTCTTAGAAGAATCATTCTCCATTTTTGTAGCAAAAATTGAACAATTTAACTGAAATTTAACATCCTGGTTTCTCCTCTGTGCTCCTGCAAAGTGCACCCAAGAAACAACTCAGATCAATATTTTGGTAATTAATATCGAAATCCTGCTTCTGTTGCAAAGGAAGATAACTGGGCATAAATTATACATCATTAGTAGTTATTACTTGTGAACTTCACTGTCATGTCTTTTCCTTGTCATCTTCCATGTAAACGGACTATTAGGATCCACACCAGGCTGTGAAATTTCCAAACCATGTTTCTTAACCAAATCAACGTATCTGAAAATTCAATAAAAAAATGACAAAAGTTCTGTACGGAATAGCTCAAGACATTAGAGGATATGATGCAGAAAGAGTGCTAACTTTTCAGAATCAAAATTATCCACTCCCAAATCTTCGTCCCAGATAAATATGTAATCATATGGTGCCACAATGTCAGGATATAGAAATCGTTTTGCATACCACCTTTAACCATACAATGAAAGAATGGATCAGTATGATAAAATTGATAATTAATATGACCCAATTGCCTTAAAAACTAGAGTACTAACCATTTTGCACTAGTTTGCAAAATTACCAAGCAAAGACACAATTATGAATCATGTAAGAATAGCCAAAGTTTGCAAATAAAGCTTACTCAGCACACTCATTAATCTTCCCCGAATTCTGGCTTTCCACAATCTTCAGAATGAAAGACTTGTTTTCATCCAAGTACTGCCAAGATTTAAACCAACCAAATTTAGAAATCAATAAGAAAAAAATATTTCCAGATGAGAACTAACCAAGCAGTATATATAGATGAAGCAGCTAATAGACTAGAATCATAAGTGAATTAATGTAACAAAGGATGAATATGTCATGCATAACCAAAGTGTATTACAGTACATATCAATTTTTACTTAAGCGTAAGGATCAAATGATCTGCAATTAGCAATGTTTTAGAATCTACCCTGGTAGCCCTAAACTAAGATAAAAAGCAATGCATACAACACCATTCCCTTATATAATTTCATATGTATTAATTGTTTTATCAATGATCATTTGATTCACAATAACTTCCTTTTATTCAACCATTTACAAGGGAACATACGGATTCTCCATTTTAATGGATCGGAGATGACAGTTGTTCATGCTTGAGACTTACAAAAAAAAAATTGAAAATAATAATAATAATAATTCTGGGTTTTTTCCTCCAGATTTAGGCCTTCAAAAGTAGCTTAACAGATAAGAAAACTTGATACTAGGTTTAAAAACAAGTTAAAAACCATCATCACTAAAAACCACTAGTTAAAAAAGTACATTTACACTATTTTTCATTATTAGCCAAATAGTCATAACATTAGTTGAGTAAGAAATACTGACATTGCCTCCTTTTCAATAAAGGTTTAAACTAAATTTCTAATACCAGCAAAACAAAAAGGTCTTACAGAACTGATGAATATGTGAAGACCATTACAAGAGCCGACACCTAAAGCTTCATTACAGTAAATTTTAAGTTTGCTACACTTCAATGATTACACTGACATTTTATACTTCCATTTATATTTATATTTATATTTATATTTTCATGTTAATTCTTGAATTTCTTGTTGTGGTCCAAGTTCAGAAAAGGTTCAATTTCCAACTGCCGGAAAAGTTAAGTTTGGACCAAAAGGCAGATCTTAGGCTAGGGGTTGAACCATGCTCTTAAGGTATGTTGAACAGCATGCCAGCAATAATCAAGCTGCATGACAGTATGTATGATGGATATCAACTTTTCGATGCTTACAAATGCGAGCACGTAAACCTTAATCATCTGTTAGGCTAATTACAACTAAGATAAACATAACAATGTATCACTCGACTGAAGTGCTCGTTCAGCATGCTTCAATGAATAAACCCGAGATCATAATGGACTTTTTAATTGCAATTAAGGCAGTAATAACTTAAATCATCAAGTAATGTACATTTGTACTAGACTAGAATAGATTAAGGCAGTAATAACTTAAATCAAAGTTTGCAAAATTACCAAGCAGAGACACAATAATTATGAATCATGTAAGAATAGCCAAAGTTTGCAAATTAAGCTTACTCAGCACACTCATTAATCTTCCCCGAATTCGAAGCCTTAAACCAAGAAAAGATTGAACATAAATAGAAGCAATCTTACCATAGGTGGAATTGACTTCAAAAATTCAACAATGTCGAGCCGAAATCGAACTTCAATTGTTGTTGCTGTAATTTGCTTGAACTTCCTCGGGTTTTTTGGGGCGAAATTAAGCGATTTTTCCACTCGAAAATTTCAGTTATTGCTCGAATTTTTGTTGTTGTAATTTCTTGACTTGAACCCAGAAAAAGACGTAATTCAAACAATTATTGTTGCTGTAATTTCTTGACTTAACCTATTGTTGCTGTAATTTCTTGACTGAAATTCGAACAAAAATTATTTATGACTGAAATGGGACGAATTTCTTAGGGTATATTGCGTCGCTGCCAAAAACCCTAGAAATCCCCCCACGAAATCCCCCAATCGAACTTGAAGACCGAAATTGAATTTTTTGGGGCTTTTAGGGTTCGAATTTGTATGCTTTTGAGTTGATTTTTTGCTCGAAATGGGGGATTTTTGGTCGGAAACAATCAATTTTTCTGGGTTTAAGGCTTCGAATTTCTTAGGGTTTTTGGTCTAAATTTTTGCTCGAAATTGCTCGAATTTGCAGCCGATTATGGGTCTTCGACTTCACTGCGATTTCAGATGTTAAATTTGCTGGGGAAACGCAAGTTTTTGGCTGAATTTGTTGGATTCAGAGACAAATTTGTGGGTGTTTTGCTGTAGAAATTCACTGGAATTTAAGAACTCTTGTTTTTTTTTTTCTTTTTGTATAGTGAATGTAGGTACCTAATGAAAAACTAAGGTAAAAAACGCAGAAAAACCTAAAGCCAAAAGTGTTATTTGCGTCACTTTATTATAAAAAAGCGACGCAAATAACCTTGTTTATAATGTTGTACAATGTACATATGCGTCGCTCATTAGTAAAAGAGTGACGCAATTTACTTAATCACTTATTTGCATCGCTTGCTAACTAATGAGTGACGCAAATAAGTTTATTAATTGCGTCGCTTTAATAAATAGGAGCGACGCAAATGATAGAAAGCTGAAATGCACTTGAGTTTTGCGTCGCTTCTTAAATAATATGCGACGCAAATAATTTAAAAGGAAGGTAAAATAAAACATTTGCTTCGCTCCTTAGAATGAGTGACGCAAATATGGCGACGCAAATGTACATTTTTCTACTAGTGATAGCTGCATGGTCCGAGAATAAAATAGGTTGATGTGAAACTCTAGTAGCTGGGTAATTTTGGATCCAAGTGGGAGAAGCATAAGCTCTATCCAAACGCTCAAAAGTGGATCTGAGTCTATTCTATTATTGGTCCATGTGAAAGAGGGACCCGAGAAAGGAATGTTAATAAGTTCATTATCCAATCTCCATTGAATAAAATCTAATCTCCCTAGAATACTATGATTACCCCCCACTTTACCAGAAAGATACTCAACCTGATTAAAGTCTCCTAAGAGGATGACATTTGATGCTGAAGTAAGGATATTAGAAATAGTATTCCATACTTCTATTCTATCAATGGTTTGAGGAGCTCCATACACAAACAAGAGATGCTTTATTTCATTACCCATCACCAATTTACAGAGTATTACATTTTGAGAAACAAACTCCGGGATTAACTGAAAAGGAGCAAACCAAAAGACAAACAAACCACCACTAAGTCCTACTGCGTCTATCCTACAACTGCCCAAAAAAGAAACAGACGCTAGTTTATGTACAACACTATCTACAGGAAGCATAGTTTCCATTAGAAAAACTATATCTAAACCGAAGGAGCGGACTAACGACAAAATATACCGAATTTTAGGGGAGTCCGCTTGACCCAATCCCCTACAATTCCATGCTGCTATTTTCATCCCGGAGTTGGTGGTCTAGTCCGGGAGACCACCGAGCCCTCAGAAGAAGAAGTATCAGAAACTGAAACCAACCCGCCCTTACGTTTCTTGTAAGGGATTAAACATGGAAAACATCCTACCTCACGTCCCTGTGAGTTTTGTAACAAAGACATAGGAGGTGCAGAAGGAGATATGGCACCACCTAACCGCTTCGCCGAACATCTGTTAGCCACCCAATTCCAGACACGAGAGCCTTTCTTGCTAAAGTTACAAGTCGAAGGGGAAGACCTCCGAGAGTTTGGTGAAGCCGAAAGTAAGGCCTGATTAGTCTCTGGATTAATAGGGACCAGAGTTTGTTCATCATGAGTCGGTTCACAACCGTTTTCCGAAGCAACAGGAGCCGGAAGTTGTTGTGCACTAACAAAGGTTGAAAAGGTGAAATAACACTGTACTACCACACATTACTATTAAAGAAAATTAAATGCACTGCAGATTCTCCTGCAATTTGGTAAGTCCTATGAACATGCTGCCTAGCAGCCTTGTATATACTAAAATAATATTAAAAAGTTGACCCTAGTTCATTTTATGTTTTTATCTGTTGCACTAGAAAAATATTTCAAGTGTAGTGGTGATGTGCATAACCCATAATTACTCCCTCAATAATCCTTTCACCCAAAAGATCTACATTATCGAGGCACCAACCCATTCGTGCTCTTCTTTTGTCTTTGAACCAAGAATCATCGATCTGTAGTCGCACCTACTCCGACCTGCATGTATATATGAGTTTCTTCAAATGATGAGCCATATACATAAAACCTAGGCAGGGACAAACCAGGCCAACGGGTAGAGTAGAAGAGTGAGCACTCTCCATAGTTGATTCCCCATCCAAAAAATTAGTATGAATTCGTAGGATATTCAAAATTTGCAATCCAATAATTGGTTTAAGAATAGGTGAATAAGTGTGCACTTTTTCAAAGTTGTGTATTGGCATGCCCGCATGTGTGCCAGCCAAAGTAGTTATGAGTAAATTATTTTGAAACAAAGCAATTATAAAGGTACATTCGGGAAATTGAAACAAAAGGAGTATATATTTCTCTATCTAGTTTCTTTTATTATGTTGTCATGGTTTCACTTTGCATCATGTATACATTTTTCTCTAATCATCTTTTATAATTAGGATTCTTTTGAAAATAACACCACAAATTTTGAAAAAATGAATTATAACACCACCTTTTCTCAAATTTGTATTATAACACCACATAAAAATCAAAAAAAATTGATTTCACCACCAACTACGAATTCTTAGACGGAATCCGTTAGTGGGGCTCACTTTGGACACGTGTCACTCATTTATTGGATTAAAAAAATATATTTTTTTTTAAAAAGAAAAACGCTAAACCAGCCACCACCGTCACCCAAACCCAACCCCTGAAGCTCCGAGACCATCGCTGAACCACCGTCGTCACCATACCCAGCCCCAAAACCTCAGAAACCGTCACCAAACCATCAA